TGTCTATAGGAGAAAAATTTAATATGCTCCAGGCCCACCACTTATTCAGCAGTCCCTTTATCATAAATGAAAATTTTTCTTCCATTTTTATTCTTATTTTTTTTATTTTTTCCATTTCAATCTTTTTTTTTTTTTTTTCTATTTTGAGAAGAGACTATCATGGTCTAGGGCCACACAAAATCTTCTTGTCTAGAGGAAAATATTTTTCTCTCATATTATTGTATGAAAAAACAATATTCCTTAAACTAATTGCCCGTGTTCAATATGTGCCGATGGGACATTTTACCGGTTACATATGATCCAAGTTACTGGCATAGAAAATATTATACTTTAATTACTTTATTATGAATAGATTACACAGAATAAAAAATATTATAAAAGAAGAGTGAAGAAAGAAAATATAGAAAGATAAAAGTATAAACTCGAGGGAAAGTATTGGAATATTACAAGATACTTAATTCATTCATCATCATTTTTGTAGGAGTCATGTCCACATAAATAAGGGAATAAATACATTATTAGTGAAGTAATTATATCATCTATATATTATAAGGCATATAAAAGGCCAAAGATCATAACATATTTTACAACAAACAACATATTTTAATGGGTCAGGATCATTTTACACTGGTGTAAGTTACACTCTCAATCTCGTCCGTTGATTTCATTTATATCTAAGGGCTCAAATTTTTTGGTAATGTGAGTCATTGGATACAAGTGAATCAATGGTTAAGATTGAGTGTAAGACTTCTAACTCTTACACCGGTGTAAGAATATCCTACCCCTATTTTAATTAGGATTTGATGTTTATTATATTATAAGAAATAAAATTATCTCATATATATATATATATATATATATATATATATATATATATATATATATAAAAAAATCTATCTTTTACAACGTAGAACATATTAAACCCTTTTAATCACTTTGACAAATATTAGAATATAATATGAAATATAGAGTTCGGATAGTGACATGAAAAGACTCATGTTTTGTCGTCTATGGTGCGAATAAATCTTTGATACTACTGTTTTACCAAAGATTCAGTGCATTCCACCAATGAAAACAATACATGTCAGTTAAAATTCTTTTGTTTCTGTTAAATTTTTTTTTTCTCTCCTCTAATGTGTAATGCTCTCATTGATAAAATGCACTGAATCTAAGTACAACAGTAGTATCAAAGATTTATTCCTATTGTGTAGTGTGATTGTAGTATTTGACTTCAAAATTTGGGAAATATTTTTTATGTTCCAGGACTACTCAATGATTTGGTGCTCCCTCTCACAACACTACTTTTTCTTTCTCTTTTTACCCTTGCTATTTTTCTTCTTTCCCAATTTTACCCTACCATTTACACTAAGGGACCACCTAAAAAATGGTGGTCCCGGACCACAATAAATTCTCTCCAAAATTTGATGCTGACGATTTAGTGTTCTTCAAGCTCACATTACACAATTAATGCTTGTGTTGCACCCACATCGACACAGAATATGAGATATGACATGACATGATATTCTGATACATTAATTCTAAAAAATGTTAAATTTTGACATGTTAAGACACATTTTGATATTATATAATATTTTTAATTTATGTAGTATATATTATATTTAGTATTCAATAATTTAACAAAAAAATAAAGTTAAACTTATAATACCCATCAATTTTACAAAGAAACAGAAGATATATCAAATGTTTATATTAAAATCAATAAAATCATAATCGTAATCTAATAAATCTAATAGTTGGAACTCAAAATGCAACGCAAATGTAACCTTTGAATCTTTTTTGAGTCTTTGCAACGAGTATTGGAGTGTCGGGAAGTGTCGGAGTGTCAGTGAGTGTCGGGCACGACACGTCAGGATTTTTGAAGTGTCGATATTTCATTGATTAACGCAGCAGTGTGTGTTCGTTGTTGGGAAACAAATCCAACTAACTTGACTGGGAACATTTGTTAGATTTTAACAAGGGGGAAATGATTTGTTTATGTAAGTTATGTACTTTTAACAATTTATAATTATGTATTAAGAGGAGTACATAATTATAATTTTTTCTTTCTTTTCATATACTGTTTGTTGACGTAAAAATAGAAAAAAATATAACTTTGATTTTATAATTATGTATTATCTTTAATACATACATATAAATTGCTAAAAAGATATAAGTTAGCTAAGGATAAACTTTTAACAATAACTATATTAGTTAATGAAAATAGAGGTAGGTTATACTTACAACTTTTTTTTTATAACCTCTTACAACTATATCTTAACACCGTTGATTTCCGTCAATCAACGGTTATGATTTTGGTAAATTAAACTCATTAATTAATTATTAATTCACAATAAATGATAACCGTTGATTGACGGAAATCAACGATTTTAAAATATAGTTGTAAGAGGTTGTAAAAAAAAAGATTGTAAATATAACCTTCCTCGTGAAAATAACTCGAACTTATTATTTGGTATTAGCTATTTAAATAGATAAAGGCAACTTATTAAGGTCTTATGACATGGATTGGGATAAGTCAACTTTACTAAATATATTTAGTTAAATAGAATAAGTTCGAATTTTAGGAAAAAATATATTTTCTTCTAAATAATTTTAGTTAAAAAAACATATTTTTTAACTAAAAAGTTATATGTTTTATTTTACAAGGCTAACCTATAAATTTATATGTCAGATTATATTATATTATATTATTTATTTTAAATAAAATAAAATAATTATCTAAATAATTTTAAATAATATTATTTTAATTATTTTTTCTAATTCTTAATAGGTTTAAATAGGTTGATAAGCCTAGACCTAAATAGTTTCAATTATTTTTTAACAAACTTATAATTTAACCTCAAACTAAGAGATTTTACTTATTTAGGCCGAAACCTACTATGGGCCAACCTATTTATTCATTTATTTTTTTGGTAAATTGGGCCAACCTATTTATACCGTTGATTGGTATGTAGCTCGAATGGTAATAATACCTTAATTAGTCACACTGTTTAATAACTAAATATGCTTTTAGCTAAAGCATTTAAACTTAACACATGAGTTTCAAGGCCAACGTTAATTCTTGTTAAATACACAAACGGCTACACAAGGTGGAGGCCAATGGTTTTTTTTTTTTTCTTGAATTTCATAACTGTAATTATTGTTTTGGTACGAGTCAGGTAGGGGTGTTCGCGGTCTGGATTGGATCGGTTTTGGAAGCAAAACTCATCCGATCCAATCCCTTCGGTTTGATCATGTAATCATCAATTCGGTTTAGATTTTTTTTCAAATCCGATCCGATCCAATTCAATTTTTTCGGTTTGGATTGGATCGGTTTTCGATTTTTTGAAAATCCTAAAATAAGTTTCATGATTATTGTGCAAATAACATCTTTTGTATATATTGGCTTTGTAAAAAAAAAAAAATTTGAAATACAAAAATATCAGTAAACAATACCATAGTTGATGAAACGCGACTAAGTTTTTTTTTGGGTTTAGTTGATGAGTTAATGGGTCTTGAGTTTAGAAATTTTTGAGCTATGATTGGAGAAAGGACAAGTAGGTAGAGAATAATTAATATATTGGATCGGTTTGGATTGGATCGATTTTCATCAACCCATCCGAAAACCGATCCAATCCAATTAAAATTTGCGGTTTTCTTTCGGTTTCCAATTTTTCGGTTTTCGGTTTATTCGGTTATCGGTTTTTTGGTTCGGTTTTCGCGGTTTGAATCGGTTTGGAACGGTTGATGAACACCCCTAGAGTCAGGTCCCCTTAGTCTTAAGACCTAGTAAAAAAAAGAGGAACGCATAAATATAAGACTAATCACTAATCTTGAATCGAGCAATATAACAATTATTTAACTCAACACCGAAGGTGCTCATTTTCAAGATTCGAACCCCTTTTATATATGAAGGCCCATAATATATTGAATTATTAAAGATTATTATTATTTCAAAATCAGTCTTGATTGCCTCATCTCTCTTTTTTTTTTGGTAAAATTGCCTCATCTCTCTTTAGCCATGGTTCTCTCTCTACACATTAGATTTTAGATATCTTTTGTTGGAGATAGGGGCCGTGTAAAGGACTTCTTAAAAAATAAAACAGATGTAATAACTTACGAAAATAATAATAAGATACTGAGTTAAAATAAATCCATAATTTTTTCGATTTTTATTTTTATTTCTTGATACAATAATAACATAATACACTTGTATTAAATGACGAAGTATTTGCACAATTGAATTAACAGAAAAATATTTTTGCAGTTAATGCAGATAAATTATCTACATTTACTTTCAAAATGACGTCGTTTTGGGATTAAAAGATTAAAAAATTATAATTATAAAGACTATAATAATTCTGAAATAAATTAAAATTATAAAAACATCACGCAGAAAAAACGAACCCTTTAATGAATTTAAATTTTTATGTGTTATTAACAAAATTAAACTTATGAAATAAAAATTAAAATTTATTAAACCACTTTAAATAATAAATTAAATGTTTTATTGTAAAAAAAGCTGAATTGATTCATCATTTATTAAACATGAACTTGAATTTTATTAAAATATGAAGCTCTAATTGTGTTATTAATAATTATCAGTGGTTCACTTTAAAGGGCACCATGCGCTATACAGGATTTCGATCCCAAAGACAAGAAAAAAAGAAAAATCTCATCTTCAGATTTTAACCAAGTTTTTAGCTAGGCAATTTCTGTTATATTCAGTTCTCTTGGAATCAAGAAGCAGGATCACAAAGCTATCATGAAGAATCGTTTCTTATGATTATTAATAAACAAATTAGATTAACTCAATTGCATGCATAAATGGATGGAATAAAAGTAGTATTTTCTGAACACACATATGGCAGCATTCACAAACTTCATTCATGTTTAGGAAAACAAGAATCATAAACTGAACTGCTGCGAAATTTTCAAAATAACTGCTAATCTTTCAACACCATCACTACATATTCTTTATATTTCTCTCCTCAGAGGAACAAAAGTGAGCTAAAATTGAAAGTGAGAATGAAAAGTAAAAAAAAAAAAAAAAAAGGGGTACTGCACAAAGCCATGTACAAACGAAATTAGTTCAACCAGGACCTAATGAAACCTGCTATATGAACAATCAATATCACTTAGATCCTATTTGAGATAATATCCTATCTGAAAGTAGCCAAAATTATTTGTAACTAGTGTTGGCCTACTTGTAATTATTTAATGTGAAATTTCTTTTTGAGACCTCAATACCGTCTCCTAGAAAGGAAAAACTCATAATCAGGATGTCTATTTGTGCAGATTTGGTTCCCCTTGTTGACAACAGCTCTTGCCATAAGAGATGCTGTTTCCTCAAGTGTCCTCAAACGCTCTTTAAGAAGTATTGAAGGGTTTAAGCCCAACATTTCTGCTGTCAGTGCAGAATGACTCAGCTGGAACCAGCATTCACCCTGTTCATATGACAAAGTGCAAAACTGTTTAGTAAGCCTAAAATGTCCAATTGAAGGTTCATCTCAAAAGGTTCAAATGAAAGGAAGAAGTTTAAACCACTCCCCATTAAACCCCGACTAGCGAGGGTAAGGTTGAGGGTAATCCTTATATGCAGCATTACTCTTGCATAAAAAAGACTATTTTTTGGATTCGAACCCATGAACTTTCAGTCACAAAAGAACAGTTGAAGCAACAAAGTTCATACCTGAGCATTGTAGCTTTGAAGGCCCACAGCTGGAGATACTATGCAAGAACCTACGGTTGGTAAATCAGAATTTGTACTTCTACGAACCAAATGTCTAAGTGAATGGTAAGTCAAAAAAGCGGCACGAAAGTTGCCATCTGGTATACGGTAAATAGGATACCAAGCAACTGAGAACCTACAAATTCACTTGAAATTAAGTGATGATGATGCAGATATAAAATATACTTTGTTTCGATAAGTGAAATATAATTGACATGTAGATCACTTACCAAGATGTAGGGTGAAGATCTCTCATGTTTATCGAATCCAGTTTAGTTGGGTCCCCATAAGTTTTAGACTGGATTGGTATATCACCTCTAACCAGTCCCTGTATCCTGCAACAAGATCAAAATCAATTCATAAGTAAATGCTGACCTATTAAAAATTCAATATAATGTAATCAGTTATTGAACATATAAAATGGCAAGCACCATATACTCTAAAAAAGTGAAGAAATACACATTAAAAACCACTATGTTCTGATGACAGGATAAAGGGGATGAACAATCTTACTTCTCATACAGAGGCCGTCTTTGTTGAGGTTGTTCAAGTTCAAAGTATTCAAAAAGAAGATCTAAATCACCAGAGCATGTTGAGCTGTTAGATGGATAAGATGCATTATTGATAGAACCCATCTCTTTTGGTGTTTCAATGCTTGCAGTAGATGAGTGCTCCGAAATGTCAATCATTTCACATGGCTCTGAAACCTCACAATTTGGAAACTTGTTGCTGCTATTTACACTTCGATTTTCATGGTTCTTAAACAGCTGAACTGCTGATAAAGAAGGGACAAAATAGGCACGAAATGGAAAATGACCATCACCACCAAGTCTCTTTGGATTTTCATAATCCTGAGCCCTTATCTCTAACCCGTAGCTCCCGTGTTTCTCATACCACTGCCACAGGCATCCCAAAGATATGTCAGGCATCTCATGTCTGCACAGTGAGACACCAGCATGGTCCTGTGAGCAGGTCAAAAAACCGAGCGAATCGGGTGATTGACAAATTACAGGACTACAAAAATGAACTAGCCTTTCAAACTCTGCAATTGGGTCACCTGTGGCCATGTGCACAGCTTCACAAGCTAGTTGTGCCATACAGGCATCATTCACAGCTTGAGCTATTCTGTAGGAATAATTTTCTAACATATCTTGATTGTCACTTTCACAAATCATGTGATTAGCTACTTCACGCTTGTCCCTGTGCTCTGTCAATGTACACGCAAACTGATTCCCCAATTTCTGATTCTCAACCTCCTCTACACAAGACAATCTACCGTAAATCTGATCCGTGCATGTTCTGCTTGCACTCAGTGAAGAATCCTGATTTTGAGAGGTGGTTACTTTTGGTTCAACACTGCTTTCCAAGTCAAAACTTTTACTAGGTGGTGCATCAGAACATTCTGGTAATGAACTATAAGTTTCAGATTTTTCCAACCCGGTATCCTTTATCCCAATTGGTATCCATTTCCATAGAGTAGATCCTGAACCAGAGCTTTGGTTTTGTGTATTGTAGTCTGCAGAAGAAACTTCTTTCTCTATTTGACCAACCTCATCACCTAAAAGATTATAAGACACGGGAGATTGCTCCTCAGACATATTTGATTGATTGATGTTCTCACCTCGTACTACCAATGAGCTATCTTCAATGTCTATATTTTCATTCTTTGTGTTTGCAAGAGTAATGCAGGCACTCTTCTGAGGATCCGACTCCTCAGGTTGAAATTGTGCACTCTGAACTATCTCAGATTTTATCTGTTCAACTCCGTTGCTATCAAACCCAGCCATCACACAATTAATATCAGAATCAAATCCAGAGACACTGCTCAATCCTTGTTGATTAATTTCCTGGGATGAGATATGTGACATATCATTCTGTTGAACACTAACCTTCACATTATCATTTAACAAGGACCTGTTAAAATGGGAACCCTTCCTAGAATAATTGAAGTGACCCTTTTTTGAAACTGAGTCCATTTTAACTTTTGGTTTCCTACCAACTTTATTTTTAAAGTGTTTTTTTTCCTCCGTTTCTGATAGAACATTTACACTAACAGAATTAGAATTTTTGATAACTGAAGGATCCTTTTCCTCAGTGGAAAATTGTGACAGAGTTGTGTTTGCTTTCTTCAAATCACCACCACATTCATCAAAACTGTTCTTCTGAACCTTTTTCCAAACAGAATGACTATTTTCCTTCCCTGTTCGACCATTCAAAATTCCAACACCCCCAAATTTGTTGAAACTTGAACTCTTCGACATTGTTCTCTTTTGCTTAACTCTCTTATCATTAGCAAAGCAATTTTGACCACCATGCCTGATTCCCTCATCATGTTCACAATTATTGCGAATACCATTCATTAAGTTTTGACCAAGAAAACACCCATCTCCTGAATTTGAAGTGATTCTGCAACTTGCCTTGTTGGACCCTTTTTCTATATCACCAGCATTGGTACTTTCATCACTTTTGGAACCAACTGAAACTGAATCCAACACCAAAGTATCTTGTATATCATTCAAACAGCATAGCTCAACATGTTGGTTGTCCTTTACTTCTCTATCAATGACTGCAAAACCAGAGCCCCTATCTTGAACTTGATTCTTGGATTCAAATGCGGCAGTACCTTTTGATATTGCTGCCTCATCAATATAAGAGTTGCAACTTTTTGATGCTTCTGTAACATTGATACTGTCCTTCATCACATTCCTTTCACAATCAATTTTTATTAATCTATCATCAGAAGATGACAATTCTGGTGAAGTTGTACACAAAATCAGCCCACCCTCCTTATCCACATCATTGCCGTTGCACGTTTCAGAAGCCAAACTTACACAGACATATTCCTCGGCAAGAGCTTCTCGTTCAGAAGAGCCGCTGTCACTTGACTGCTTCTTACTCGGTCTAACTTTCTTTCTTGTCCGTTTTCTTGAGTTTTTCTTCAGAGACTTGTCTTCCTTGGATTCACTCGTTACCTTATTAGATGAATTAACTGCAGAAGAACTATCAGGGGACAAGCCAGAGTTGCAGACTAGTGAATTTCCAGGGAGTTCATTCAGTTTAGAAGCTTTGTTAGCAATCTTATTTTGACATCGACGATGCACATTTGAACTATTAATGCTTCTTCTTGTAAATGATTTGGCTGAATAAGCATAGGGAGGCACAGTTCCTCTTGACCCCTTGCATTCATCAATCTTCAGCTTGTTAGGAGGTGGAGGGAAAAGAAGTTGCAGACCATCCATATTAACACCAGAAGCTAAGTTAATGTGATTGAAACACTGCACTGGTAGGGCAACAATTCTCAAGTTTCCATCAGGGTCAACATTTAGGAACGTAAGGATGGCACACCTGATACATAATTAGAAGAACTTAACCATAGTCACATCCAGGATTCAAGTGTCTTCTGAATAGGACAAAAAAATAAATAAACAAATGAAACAAGAGAGTAAAGGAGCTATATAATAAAGGCAATACTTTCAAAAAATTTAGTCAGTGTAGCCATTAAGAGGTTCAAAAGCTAAAACATTATTAAAGAAATAAACATGTTGCACTAATTATTCAAAATAACTAAGTGTGTTATGGTCTTATGACTTTTTAAATGCTCAACCATAACAAAGGCTCCCAGCACACATATTGCAAATAAAGAATAGACCACCTATTGGAAGTTTTTACCACAGATAAAACATGTATGAAACAATTTTCCTCGACCCCATTTCCCCGATTGAAGAAATAAATTAGTAATATTAGAATAACAAAAAAAAAAAAAGATAGCAAGAAGAATAGGAAGAAGTTTAAGAAAATATAGAATAAATGAGCCACTCCTTCAAATGGGGAGAACATAGCATCATTATGACAATACCAACGTGGATTCATGTTCCCTCCCACCATGTACAGAATCAATGACACTATTAGCTTTTGGCATAAGCTTTAAAATCATTCAATAATGAATAATATATTTCTAAAGAAATGTGATTTCAAGCCTAGGAGCACATGTTCTATCAATAGGTCAACAACTTCAATAAAACAAACATGTAAATTATAGAACCAAATTACCATAAGAACAAAGAAGTAGTCACAAAACTATTTTACCTACTAGGGGATGTTGATGTTGACGTATCAGAGGTAATCGTTGAAAGAGAAGATTCTTTACAATCCTGAATAAAGGAATTACATAAAAAGATAAAAGGAGAAAAAATAGAGATAAGGATCAGCTGCCTAGATAAACTCAATTAGAAAATTAATGGAAAAAATAGGAGTGTAATTAGTTTTTGTGACCTCCAAGGAAGTGATTTTATTTTGTTGTTGACGTATCGTTGATATGGAATCCTTTCTTGCTTCAGAAACTTTTGAACTATCATTACCTTTCTTTTGAGGGGCACAACGCATCTTCCTTGCCTGTAAAAAAGAAGATGAAAAGAAAAAGAAAAAGAAGAAAGAAATTACATTTTTTGAAACAAAGATAAACAAGATTCTATAAAGAATTGATATTCAAAATATTTTTACTGTTTACATTATGAACTGTACAGATTCTCAATGACCTAAAAGTCATCTAGAGATCAATTAAGTTAAAAATAGATCATGCTCAATTAAAAAACTAGCAAGCTAAAATCGGAACAAGAGGAAAACAATCAAATATTAGTGAAAGAAAAAAAGAAAAAATAGTAAGCTTCTTTACTCTCTCTTATTTTATACGCATCGTTTCTTTCCATAGTTCTAAAGGATGGCCATTTACCAAACAAAGAAGCACAGGAAAAAAAAAAATTCAATGTTGTTAAAAAAAAAAAAATCACTCCCTGTTAAACCCGACTAGCGAGTGTGGGGGGAAGGAAATCCTTATACGCAGCCTTATCCTTCTATAATTGCAAAGAGACTGTTTCCTGGATATCAATGTTGTTAATAATAATTAAAAGAAGATGATAGCATTCCAGAAAACTTCTGGCCTTGGCAAGGTAGTAACAGGGCTTATTGGTATTAGAGAATGTCCTAATGGAAAAATTGCCAGTATAATAAGAAAGAATAATTCCTAAAAAACCTGCAGAATCAAAAGCCCAAACCAATATGCAAAAACTCATTTCCCTATCCTTATATGAAAATTACCAAAATTAATTTCTCCTTTATACATAGATAACAATCCATTACTGGGCTAATCGCATAAAGAACAATAGCCACATTGCTCAGACACAATAAACTAGCCATATTTCTTTTATCTGAAAAGAAAATGGCCACACAAAAAACTAATTTGTCTATCCAAGAAATATCATAATCATTAAAACTTTAAAACAAGTTAAAGCATTATCAGAAAGACGATGATAAAATGTAGAAACACAAAATCAAAGCAATTAAATATCAATATGACAAACCGAGAACTTCAAAACACTGAATAATGAAAAATAATAATCATTGTTGTGGACTAACAACACAGTCCAAATGGCATAGATTCAAAACATAATAACCAAGCCTATACACGAAAGAATTAACTTTCTTAAGGCAATTTTATTGAAAAATTCCAAGTCAAACAGGTATATTCCTAGTAAACAAAATACCTCGTCTTTGCAATCTTGGAATACACCTTCTCAATTCTAACATTATAGATAGCAAGAACACCCAACAAATTTCAATCTGTGGCTGCTCAAATTTCATCCAAAATGCAAGCACATTTCATTAAACATGAAAGATCATGAAGTCTTATGCCACCAAGCTGCAGATACCCTTTGGCTCATATTCTACAGGGCATATAGAAACAAAGTACACATCCTCCACATCTCTTGGCTTTCATGAAATTGAAATCATAGAGAGAACTGTGCAATAAACAATGCAATTCCACACACACACAATAGAGATGTGCAGGAAAGGAGAAACCTCAACTTGGGTTTCTCCAAATCAAAATCAGGAAAAGATTAAATTATCCCAGAATGAATTGAATTCTGTCTACCAGTCAAAAGAAAGGTATCCCTCTAATTTAATCAAAAACTCACTAAGCCTCCAATAACTCTAAACAAAGCTCACCTCAATAACTTGATACTATATAAATAAGTAAAGGAGGAAAAAGAAAAGAAAGAAAATCAAACTTGAAACTATGGCTTATTTGAACCATTAATATAAAATCTACAAGTAAAATTTGACTAAACCACAAATACTCTGCCTAAAATATCTAAAAGAAAGAGCACCGTATCCATAGCCATACAAGTCGTCCCCAGATTTAGGCTTGGGTTTGAGATTACAGAAATATACAAGAACAGCTAAATTAACCAAAGATTTTCTAAATATAGATTTCACCCACCCCCATAAGCAGGATCATTTATCTACACAAATAAAAAAAAAATTAAATCTTTTTTTATTTAAATAAAAAGAATGAAAGAAACCAGCAAAAAGAACCACACCCCAATATCATTTCTTAATTAAAAAATCAAAATTCTCAAACAATCAAACATCAGCACACATCATATATCCAGAAAACTCAAATGGGTCTTCATCAAAAAAGAAAAAAGAAAAGAAAAGACTTTAACAAAAATATTGAAAAAAGCAACAAAACCATGATTGAAAGATGTAATGGGACGAACCATGAGACAAGTTCCAAGGGGTTGGAACTGGATTGCTCTCTTCCAAGCCTCAACGGCTCTCTTCTTTCTCAAGTAATCACCCGTTTTGTCTTCTGAGATTGAAACTCTCTCCTTGTGTTGTGGGTGTTGTTGTTGTTTTTGTTGTTTCTTTTATATGAAAGATAGCGACTTTGCTTTTTGTTCAGTGCACACACACCTACGTAGTTCAGTGGCACACAGACACTTTCCAATGAATTAGAGACAAGAAAATGAAAATGAAAAAAAAAAAAAAAAATCGCAAAAAGAAATGATTTTGACTGCAAAATTCACATCATCAGGGACACTTTGGTCATATAGTTTCGTTTTATTTTATTTTCTGGTAAACAAGAAAATTTTCTTTTTCTTTTCTTTTTTTGGTTTTGTCAAATTTAATTTTTCTTTTATGACATTAAATTCAATGGCTGATTTTACGTTTTAGAGTTAGAACTCGTAAACCAATAAACCCAAAAAACAAAAAAACTGCAAGCCAAGCGTGGAACATGCAGCATACGCAAACAAAAGAAGATTCCTTTTTGCAATGAAATAATTAAGACTCTTGCTTTTTTTGGGTATACAAATATGGAATATTCTTTTATGCACCTTCTCATCGGATATTTTTTATATATATTTCTCTTTTTATAGATATTAAATAAGTAAGTTTTTATTAAAATTTATAAATATCCATAAATAAATAAAAAATAAACAGAAAAAATCTCATTTGGAAAAATGGATACAAATAAAGCTTTGAATACCTTCAAAGTTGGGTGTAGTACAAATTTTATTTGAGAATACGGGAGAGTTGGTTCAGTTCACAATATTGTCAATTTTTCGAAATAAAAAGTTTTCGAAGCAAAGTAAAATTAGATATATATAAGTTTATTAATTAAGAATTAGCTCATCTGATCAACCTAAATGTTGTGACATTTGTATGACGATTGCTTTATAAAAATGAGAAAAATTTCTTCCACGTTAAACTTTTCCTAAAACAAAACGTAAATTAAAAATGTTATCATTTTATATTAAATACATTTATAATGCGTAAATTTATGTGATTGGATAGAGTTTCGTCAAGTTTGACGAATGGGAAACATATTAATGTTAAATTCTTTTGAAACTAAGTCAATCATTCAATCTGACACGTAATTTGACGGTTAATAGTAATAAAATAAAACACATTTTGTCTATGCTCTGAGTCTGATGGATACTTACATGTCTTTGTGGAAAATTAGATATGATAAGTAGAAGCATTTATAAGAAGATTAGACTGTAATCGTGTTGGATTGATTAAAAAAAAGAAAATAAAATTAGTAAGCTGGTTAGCTAGCTGGTTCATTCAACTTAGAAAAAAAAATAAAATCAAATGATTACAGAATTAATGAATCAATTCAACCGTTCCAAAACTGCTGAAAACTAATGATAGATAATTTCTTTTATTAGACTAATTTTTTATTTTTATTTTTTAGTGAAATAAAGGTATATACTAAGTTATGATGTACGGATACTGACACGGGACACGACACGCCGACACGTTAATTCTAAAAAAATGGCATATTTCGACACGTTGGAACACGTTTTGATATTAAATAATAATTTTAATATATATAATATAATTTATATTTAATACATATAACAATTCATAACAAGTCATATAACCAATCAAATATTCAAATTTCATAACAGAAATATAAAATAAAAAATAAAAAATTATACCTTATTAATTTTTCATGTCAAATTTCATAACAGAAAAAATTGATGTATAAATATTTTTTTTAATTAATAAAATAAATTAAGACTTAAATAAAATATGTCGAAGCATTGATCACGTGTCAGAAAAAATTGACTGCGTGTCAAAAAAATGTGTCGGAGCATATCAAAAAGTTGACTATATGTCTCAAAATACTGACCGCGTGTCGAACACGTGTCCCACACACAAATTAAAAAAAAAAAAAAAAAGCGTGTCGGGATATTGCGGGTAGTAAGTTATACGTGTTTATGTTGCAAGTTTGCAACCCTACTCACAATAACAAGCCTATTCCATCTTGGTTCAGTTGTTACAACCGAAGAGATAGTGTCAGACACCAAACAAATCAGGAAAAGCTTCGCTTAGCAGATGCTCAGTATCTCGTATCAGCTGAAGGAGAAAACTTTGGCTACAATAGTTGTAACATGTAATTAAAATTTCGATTATCATTGTAATTTTATTTTTTATTATTTTTTTATCAAAATAATTTTATCAATATCTCAAATGCTTCTATATTTTTATGAATTTTTTACATTATAATTTTATATTTTATGATTTTTTATCCCTCTTTCAATTTTACGTAAAATCTCAATTTTAACTTCTTTGGTTGTACGAACATCCTTGTCATATGGAAAAAGTTTTTGGGACTTAGAGTGATATTTAAAAAAAATTAAGGGTTAAAATGAAGAAATTTTTTTTAGTAAAAAGAATTACCTAATTCAGTACTCAACTCCCGTAATATTGAAGAAATTTCCCGTCTGAAGGCCCAAAGTTTAATTATTATTTTTCTTGAAATATGATATAAAATTATTAATGTAATTTTTATCGAAAAGTTCAAGTTTTTGGATTAAAATAACTTTTTTTATAATATTATAGTCTCTGACTAAGTGATCATAAGTTCAATCTTTATCATCCTTATTCCCCTGCTTGCAGAAATGAATGGATCACAAAGGGGGCATGGGTTCTATTTCTGGGTCGAGCAGGAGGTGAAGGCCATGAGATAAGATTGCCCTCCCGGTAAGGAAGAGAGGAAAATGGTGTTGTCATCTATCTCGACTAGTTTCCCGAGGCGTTGAAAATCCAAACCGGCTCAGAGAATCACGGGCGCTATTTAGCCTTTATTATGGCTATGACCAGCTAAAGATCACTGCCATCTCACGAATTGGATTCAAACCAATATCTCTGGGCGACTTTCCTTTTAGTCGATCGTGAGTGGGTCTATCGGCGGGATACCAACAACCTTGAGGACTAATGCAGAATTTACTGATCAAACGCCGTCAGACTGCTCTACATTCAGCCACGCCACAGTGACCCCCGAACTTCTTATAGTTGCGGGACGAAATCCGGCAGCCAATTGCTGGCTTATTAATAAATAATTAAATATTATAGAATTTCTTATCATAGGAATTGGACCTATGCATGGCCCATCTTTCACGTCAAATGAGTTCACGAGTACGATGTAAAACCATTAATATAACATTAATTTAACCATATAAGTTTTTGGGTTGAAATAATTCTTTATAATTTTTTCTATTATTTTATTTAATTTAGGGACAATATATACTTACCACCAATTAAGTTTATCATTTCTTACCACCAAATCTTAATCGTTGATTTCCCCAAATCTGACAGTTATAATTTATTGGATAACACTTTTTAATTAATTGTTAATTCATAATAAATTATAACTGTCAGATTGATGAAAATCAACGGTTAAGATTTGACGTTAAAAAGTGATTGTTATTGAGTAAGACATTTAGAAATTAGAATATATCCGATTTCACAAGGGTCAGAATCTTAGTAGTCAAGATGAATCTATATTATACAAAAATAAATCTGCACAAAAGAATAAAAACAGTGAAACTCAACGTATTTTCGAAGAACAAATGCAGAAAATGATGAAAAATCCGAGCCCAACAGAAGTTGTCTCCTTAAGATAATTTGTTCCCTCTATTGATGCCGAAGGTTGATGAACAACTGTCTCTCAGGATAGAATGAATTTGCGTCTTAAGAATGATGGCAACTATCAATCAAGAGCCCTATGAACACAACCAAATGCTAGATAGAATTGCACTTTTCTAAGCTTAAGGCAGTATGTATGAGTATGGATGCACATAGGAATAACTTAGGGAAAAAAATCGGCAGAGTAATGACTCAAGAAAAAATTCGGATGCTTTTTATGAAGTGTTTAACGTCTATATATAGACAAGGATCGGACACGGTGAATAGCTTCCCGTGAACCAATTGAACACCTGAACTGCCGTTGATGAACCGTCATGACTGATGGCAGCGAACCGGTACCGGTTCGGTTATAACCGAATGCACCATTTCGGTTGAAAGTTTGGTGGGGAGTAACGTTTCGGTTATAATTTATTGGATGACACTTATTAATTAATTATTAATTCCTAATAAATTATAACTGTCAGATTGACAGAAATCGACGATTAAGATTTGGTGGTAAGAAGTGATTGTTATTGACTAAGACATTTAGAAATGGGAATATATCCAATTTCACAAGGGACAGAATCTGAGTAGTCAATATGGATCTATATTATACAAAAATAAATATGCACTAAAGAATAAAAATAGTGGAAATCACATTATTTTCGAAGAACAAATGCAGAAAATGATGAAGAATTTGAGCCCAACAAAAGTTGTCCCCTTAAGACAATTTGTTCCCTCTATTGATGTCGAAGGTTGATGAACAACTGTCTCCCAGTATAGAACGGATGTGCGTCTCAAGAATGATGACAACTATCAATCAAGAGCCCCTGCGAATACAACAGAATGCCAGATAGAATCGCATTTTTCTAAGCCTAAGGCAGTATGCATGAGTATGGATGCTCACAGGAATAACTTAGAAAAAAAACCTGCAAAGTAATGACTCAAAAAATTCGGATGCTTTTTCTGAAGGTTTAGCGTCTATATATAGATATATATCGAACACGATGAACAGCCGCCAGTGAACCGGTCGGATACACTGAACCACCGCTGACGAACCATCATAACTGACGGCAGCGATCCGGTACCGGTTCCGTTATAACCGAACGCACCATTTCGGCTCAAGGGGAGTAATGTTTCAATTTGGAAAAATTGAAGGGAAGCAACGAATAAGACAAGGGTATTTTGAAAAAAAAAATAATTTTTTTAATAATCTCTCACACACGCGCAACTGGGCCGAGCTAAACGGGCGGTGGTGCGTGTGTGGTGGACTAATGTCAACCTACGTCCTCTATCCTGCACAAAAATGGTGTGCCCCAAGATGCAAATTAGAGAGGTGAGGTGGAGGTTTATAAACCCTTCCATCTCTCATTCCTTGTCCAATCTAAGACTTCTAGCCACACAC